TACAATTTGATCATTTTTACCGCTTTAAGGACCATTTTATGAAGACACATTTGGAAATAAGTCCTATCATAAAGTCATAATTATTTCTGACAATGCTCTCCCCTAATCTCCCTGTTTCCCTTTTTGTGGTCTGTTTTTCTCTTTGATCTTTACTGTAGGTTCTTTCACAAAAAAATTGTAGTGACATTTAAAAAATGGATCCATATTGAAAAGGAACTGCTAAGCAAATCTTTCCTGCTAAAGGGCCTTAGGCTTGGTGCAGTAAATAATCCAGTGCAATTGTAAATAACAAGTTTGCTTGCTTGATAAACCTTTCCTTAGAGAGCTTTCCATCTAAGTTTAAGCTTATCTAAACAAGGTTACATTTTAACAAGGTCGGACAGCTGGCCAAGCTGATTTATCTCTCAAAGGACATCCCCAAATGTCCATCTTTCCCCCTTTGTCTAGGAGTTTTACAGCAAATAGCTGTGCTTGCTAACCAATGTTATCAATGTAAGGCAGTTGTGTATAAAAGAAACCCTTTGTTTCTAGACAGGTGCTCAGACCTTACGGGACTGCCCAGGTCTGAGACCTCATGAATGAGTAATAAAGCTTCTCCTGACCTCACCATTCCTGAAATACCGCTTGTTCTTCCCTTGCCTGGGTAAAAGGCTAGAATTTGTTTCTGCAACAATATTTTTCAGTATATTGTTTCTTAGCATTCTACCAACATCCTCTTTCCTTCTAAATTAAAAAAAAAAAATTTTTTTAAGATATTAGTTATGCATACAACAACTAGGGTAGAGGTCAGAGGTGCAGGGGGGTGAGAGGATTCACCAGAGACAGAGTGGGGAGCAGAGCAGGCAGATTGACTGAAATACACTGCTGAGGGGAGCAGTGGGTCAGACAGGAGAGGTCTGCACCAAGTGGGTCAGCTTTCTGGCAGGGGATCGAACTCATGATGCAGATAGCTTCCTAGTGCCGAGACTTAACTCCTTGTGCCACCAGGGAGGTCCTTTCCTTCTAAATTTAATGAGTGTTTTGTTTGAGCATCCCATCCTGTGTTGTCTATGAGGAAAGTGACACCACACACAGCTTCCAAGAGACTACTGTGTGCTTGTGTGTATTGCACTGAAACAGGATCCCTGCGTTTCTTTCCTTGCTTGCCTGGATCTTGTCTCCATTCCTTTTTTTCTAGCATAGATTCACATCTTTCAAGTTTATGATGAAAGGGAGAAAGAATGATTCATCATTAACTTTGGTCCATAGCCTCATAAATTTTCTTCTCTTTACCTAACTAATCATCATCATTACTAATTATGCTCCAGAAAATAAACTGGAATGCAGGCTGGCTTAAGATAGAACAAATCAGTGTATAAATTGGAGGGGCTGCTGTCAAATGGCTGAGTGACTGAGCACAGCAAATAGGAACTGTTTCCTATTCTGCTTTTGTGCCTGTGCTTATTAAGGCCTGGAATTTGCCTGGATAGAACTGGAAATCGAATAAGTATAATCTAATTTTAAGGGAGCTCAACACCAATTAAGTGAGCATTACTTGAAACATAAATTAATAAAATTGTATGTTGGTTTTGTTGAAGGATGGTGGTATGTCAGGTCTGGGGCTGGTGCCAAGGAGAACACTTGCTTGTGCTTTTCAAAGTGGTGGTTCTTGGACAATGGTTGTTCAGGAAGTGCCTCTGAGCAGGTCACACAGGGCACTTGATATGTGTTTGGGACAAAGGAGAAAGGCAGTACTAGTGTCCTCCTAGCCCTTCACTACCTGGAGATACATGGACTTTTGAGCTTGCTCCATCTTCAGCCGCAACTCTGTCGCTGCCATCATCCATTCTGGGCCCATGAGGAAGCAGGCACCAAGCAGTGACTTGCTTCTGTGTCATCCTTGCTGTGGCCCACAGGCTGTAGCATGTGGTCTGTGACCCCTCCTGGATGTGGCCATCTCTCTGCTCCCTCTGGAACCTTCTCATCCTGGCCTGCGTGCAGGTTCTGTGAGAATTTTGTTTCTTTAAAAGGTATCTGTCTCAAACACCCAAGCATTAAGAGCAGAGAGCCTAAAACTCTGAAGAGAAGCATCTCTAAGACTCTCATATTAGAAAAAAATCCCCAGGCCAGCATCACAACTAGAGTATGTAATTGCTCGCCTGCTTTCCTCTCTGCTTGTGATGATTTCTTGACCTGAAAGTAACCTGCCCTCTGATTTTACAAGTCTAAATCCTCTTCATAATCCAGATTTTTCACTGAGCTGCCTGTTTCCTGCTGCTCCTGGATGGCAAGTACTTTGTATTTATATTGAAATGTGTTTAAGTACCTCTAGGAGTTTCTTATGGGCAGTGACAAGGTCTTGGTTACAAGGGAGGAGACTTTGAATAAACAAATGAAAGAAAAAGTGTATTCATTTGTTCCTTCAATTGACCTGTTTTTAAATTGCTGAAGATGGTTAAGTTGGGTCTGATTCATCTTTATATCCCACTGTAGTTAGCATTGTGCTTTATTCATGGTAGATATTCAACAGATTTATTTTAAAAAAAAATTCTGCTTTAATGAAGTATAATGGACTTTATAAAATTATAAGTTAGGGTATACATTACTGTGATTTGATATGTTATATATCATGAAAGGACCCCCTCCCCCCCGGCACGCCCCTATCTAGTCGTTAAAAACCTCCATCACCTCACATATTTATCTTTTATTTTTGACAAGTTCATTTAAGTTCTGTAAATTTCAGCTATTCAATATTATTTTTTTGAATTAGTGAATAGCTGAGTAGTTGATTATGATATGCACTTTCTGAAGCTCATCTTTCTGAGTGCTACATTACTGTATTCTACACTTAATAATTTAGGTGGGGGTTCTAGGACTGGCAATTATTTCCACAGTGGTGACTGAAGGTTCTTTTAAGAGTCTCTTGGTGCTCCATCCAAAGACAAATAATTTAGATGTTTTTTCTTTTTTTTTTTTTTTTTTTTTTTTTATAGAGGCATGTTTTCTTTATTTGTTTGTTTGTTTGTTTTGTTTATACAAGCACTGGGTACAGTCAGAAGCGCGGGAGGGTGAGAGAATTCATCAGAGCCAGAGCGGGGAGCAGAACAGGCAGAAGGACCGAAGGACACTGCTGAGGGGAGCAGCGGGCGGCAGGAGAGGTCTGCGCGCCATGCGGGACCCTCCTCCGGTGGCTGGGAAGCAGCCGGGGATCGAACCGGCACTGCAGGGGCGGGCAGCTTCGCAACCCAGCGCTCAACCACTGCGCCACCGGGGAGGCCCTTAGATGTTTTTTCTAAGGAGCAGAGTTGGGCAGCTTGTATTGAAACACAGGTAGAGCCCTAGGAGCGTCCTCAAACCCCAATTTAAGTTGATCTAAGTCATTCTGCTGGCCGCTGATACCAGCAGTCTGACAGTCTTAACATCTGTATGGTGAAAGATGCCTGCCAGTTGTCTCTGACCATCTTTCACTGCATAATACTTGATTGTGATGAGTGAGCTAATACTTGCTTGTATTCTTGTTACTTGGTGCAAACCTAATAGCAATGAAATGAAAGAACCAGCTGTAAGGAAGTTCCTCATCCTGTGTGCCTTTGTGAGCCCTAAGTCCTGAAGGTTCACTGCTGCTGGTGGTTGTTTTAATTATTGCTGTTTGGGGTTTTTTGATTTGTTTTTGTCTTTTAAAACCAATTGACCAGAATTATCTTTATTCAAATGATTTGGTGGAAAAGATAAAAGATGCCTCAGTGTGCTTGTTTGGTGCTTCGTTTTTATTACCAACAAGAGAACAGTGAACCCATAAAATGAATAAGCCCATATAAAATGAGGAAGGTAGTTACATGAAGTACTTAGATTTGTAAAGTTGCCTGACAATTAATATTTACAGGAGGGTCAGTTGAGTCACGGAAAGGAAGTCAGAAGTTCTGAAAAGCTTACTTTTAGAAACGCTGCAAACTTAATGGAAGCAGAATTTCTCATGTGTATTTATTTTTATATAATTTTATTTTTTGAGGTGACTAGTTTACAGCACTATATGATTTAGGGGAATAGGTTCATACTGTTACAGATGATTCTCCATGAAAAGGGGAGGGGCATTGAACAGGCACCATTTTCCCTACCCTCACTTACATATAGTTGTCTTAGGCCACAAATCCCAGCAAGGGATGAACTGGATTTCCTGATTGGGGTCAGCTGGAAAGGAGCAGGTGGCTATATAAAGGGAGGGAGGAACACAGAAGGGGAAGGAGATTTGAAGGAGACATATAGAGGAGAGACAAGTAGAGATACTTGGAAGAGATCTGTACACGGTGAGACAACTATTGGGCATGGGGCGGGGTTTGGTCCTGGCCCTTGGCAGAGATAGTGGCAGCTGTTCTCTTAACCTCATGTTGGATTATGTGGTATATTTTTGGGTTTTTTTTGTTTTTTTTTAATATATATATATTTTTAAGATTCATTCATTCATTCATTTATGCAAGCACTGGGTACAGTCAGAAGCGCGGGAGGGTGAGAGAATTCACCAGAGCCAGAGCAGGGAGCAGAGCAGGCAGAAGGACCGAAGTACACTGCTGAGGGGAGCAGCGGGTGGCAGGAAAGGTCTGCGCGCCATGCGGGACCCTCCTCCGGTGGCCAGGGAGCGGCCGGGGAGCAGCCGGGGATCGAACCGGCGCTGCAGAGGCTATGGGCAGCTTCGCAACCCAGCGCTCAACCACTGCGCCACCAGGGAGGCCCTTCCAGTATATTTTAGAAGAATTATCCCCCAATCACTGAAATATACAAACAGGACTAGCAGGCTCCCTCTCTGTGAAATTTGGGGCTGTTATGTACCCCAAAAGGAGTATTCACCATGGCAATTCTCAGAGAACTCACCTTCCTTCCGGACATTATGGGAATCCTGTTGTCTCGTGGGTGGGACATTTTTATGCTTTTGTTAAGACACTTGAGCGGTGGTACAGATTCATCAGACATGCTAACTTCTCAGCTTATTTGAAATAACTAACTTGGCATTTTTTTGTCTCCTTCAGAAACTGATTGCTAGATGCCTGTGAGCCCCTGACAACCTCAAGGCTTTGGAAAGAAGGAAGGCCTGGAAGCAGGGCTCCTGAGAACAAGCTCCTCCCCGGTGGCCTTGGCATTTCAACTCTTGGTCCAGGATGGAGACCCTCTCCCAAGATTCTTTGCTGGAATGTCAGATCTGTTTCAATTATTACAGCCCGCGGCGAAGGCCCAAGTTGCTGGATTGCAAACACACCTGCTGCTCGGTGTGCCTGCAGCAGATGAGGACGAGCCAGAAGGATGTGCGGTGCCCCTGGTGCCGGGGCATCACCAAGCTGCCCCCAGGCTTCTCCGTGTCGCAGCTCCCCGATGACCCCGAGGTCCTGTCTGTCATCGCCATCCCTCACGCCTCCGAACACACCCCCGTCTTCATCAAACTTCCCAGCAATGGGTGCTACATGCTGCCCCTGCCCATCTCCAAGGAACGAGCGCTGCTGCCTGGAGACATGGGTTGCCGCCTGCTGCCTGGGAGCCAGCAGAAGTCTGTCACCGTGGTGACCATTCCCGCCGAACAGCAGCCTCTGCAAGGTGGGGCTCCCCCAGAGGTGGCAGAGGAGGAGCCAGACAGGCGGGGCGTGGTGAAAAGCTCCACCTGGTCCGGGGTGTGCACTGTGATCCTGGTGGCCTGTGTCCTGGTCTTCCTTCTGGGCATCGTGCTGCACAACATGTCCTGCATTTCTAAGCGCTTCACTGTGATATCCTGTGGCTGAAGGCACTGCAGGGAAGTCTCTTGTGGGTACCAACTAGGGGTTGAGCAGGTGTTGGTGATGGGATCACAGTGAGAAATGGGGGTGGGGGGGGAGAGAGATCATTTGGTGCCAGGCACTGCCTCTGGGCTGTCACTTGATTAACCTGAAGACAGACACGGAGGGCAGAATGGAAAGTCTCAACACGACACCAGGCAGATCACTCTGAGTGTTGATGGCAACGGCTTCGAAGATGATTGCATGCATCCTCATAATCATTTATTAAATGGACTGTAATTTATGATTTTTCAAAGTCACGTTATGAGATAGACATATTCTACTTAGATGTTAAACTGTGCAAGTACATACAATGTGATCTCTCAATGTGGTAGATTAAAAAAAAAGATGCTATGTATACAAGTAGAATTAAACCTGAGAATCCATGTACAAATTCAGCAAAGACATGCCGTGCCGGTGGCTTTCCTTTTTACAATGAAACCCCGTCTTCATTTAGTTGCTAAGGCTTTTTATACCTTTTGAATGGCACCAAATTAAAATAAGTTAAACGGACAGTCATTTTTTGAAGAAAAATATTTGAACAAGTGTTTCCGACGTGTTGTTTTGTCATGTACCTTCATTTTTCTTCCCTTGTAATTAGAGCTCACTACGTGTTTATTAAACTGAAAGCTCAACAGGGGAGCAATAAACTGAGTAATAATGGGAAATACCTAATCCCGCAGGAAACCTATATGCCAATTTTTCTCAAGCCATCTCACAAAATAAGAATTTTAAATGTAAATATTGTGTATTTGTGTGTATGTATGTGTGTGTGTACACTTCGATTCACCTCAGGTTTCGAATCTTTTCAGAAGATTCCTGGGGGTAAGACTTTGTGGACAGGAATGAATCAAGGTTCTAAAATGGGGGACTCCTCGTGGGCAGTAGGACCCAGCTCGTGAGGGGTCACAAACTCATCGCTCCTAACACTTGCTCCTTTTCTGTGTATTCAAGTCCTGTATCCTGTAAGGCATAAATGGAGAGCAACAGAAGATTCTAGCTTCTCTCCCAGATTGGTGGGAGAGGTATTGTAACAACCGTGAGTGTTGTTAACGGATGACAAATCCAGACGGCCATTTTTAATAGACCGCCATGATTGTGTTCTGAGAGATGTTTCATGAGAGTTGAACCATTAAGAATTCCAGTTTTCTCTTGTTGGTGTAGATGAGCAAATCTCTTGGATTTTAATATATATTTTTATTGAGAAAAGTGGCAAATAAATCAACAACTCATTCCATTTGAAAAGTTCATCATAAAGTTAAAATACCCTTAAATATGGGGTGGTCAATAACAATAGTTGGGAAGAAAGACCTGCTAGTATTAAATGACACATTCCCATGCCTGGGTGTGTATGCTTCAGAAATAACTGAGCTTTATAGTTCTGATTTCTTTTATGGAATTCATGAAGCAAGCAAGGACTCCATTCATTGATATTATCTGTTGATGTTCTACTGAATCTATGAAAATCTAGGTGGGAAAGATAAACAGGGACTAGTTCCAAAAAATCAAGGCTAGAAATAGCCTTGTAAGACCGAGACAATTTAATTTACTTAATGGTGACTGTTCCCTTTGAGCAGCACAAAATATACACATTACAGTGATGGAATTAAGGTGAGATAAAACAGCAAACAATATAATGAATAGGAACCAAAGCTAGCACTGTTCATTGGCATGAGAATTCTATATAGAAACATGGACTTGGGTTATCAAATCTTTCAAATTTGTCATAAGTCCTTTAGGAAATGCATTTGAAAGCTTAAACTAGAAATTAGGTTAAAATGTCATTTTATTGCATAAGCTATTGGGCATTAAACAACAAATAATCAGGGGTTTATTTGGTATTAATAATTTAGGTATCATATTAGCTGAATACTATCCTCTATTACGGAACATAATATACTGTTGGGTTAACATCAATTTCTCAAATTCTCCCAGGCTGCCATAATGCATGTTCAACCTAATTTCTGTTCCCCTTGGGGAAAAAACAAAACAAAACAAAATTCTTAATGCCACATTTCTAATGGACTTAACTCTTGTCATTTTAAGCCATGCCATAGTCAAATTAATTTTGTAAATGATATCAACATACATTTATGTACAGTATGAAATGACTGGCCCTGTAGTATAGTATGTGATAGAACTCTACGTGTTAAGTAGGTATACATAGACACTAACGTGTGAAGATACAGCACCTGTGTTTCTTAGTGCAAAGCTATAGAGTAAAAATGTCCACATATCTTTTACTTAAAAATAATCCCATGCTAGAGCTGCAACTAAGCAGTGCAAAATTAATGAAAATAGTCTCGATTTTACAACTTAAGGTGATAACAACCAAAATCAGAATTTTTGTGTGCATTTTACTGACCTAAGAAACAGTAAATGGATTCTGCCTGCAGTATTTGTGCAGCTGCTTGTTAGGATGGACATTGTACATATGTGTGTGTGTGTATGTGATGGCTCAGCTAGATAGAGTTTTTATAGATTTAATGATGTTTTAATGTTACTTGGCATCTTACTGCTCTGGCCTCTTCTGGCTTTTACCCCATGACACTAACAACTCAGCAAGTCCAGTGACACAAATGACCAGAATGCACAGTTGCACATCATTGAAAAAAATCATGTCAGAAAGTTAAAGCTGAAAGCAACCTCTAGTGGCTTTGTTTTGTAGATCAAGCTCCTGAGACCTGCAGAGGTACGCGGCTGCTTGTCATTCTGCAGCTTAAGGAAGATGAGAACTTTGTGCTTGGACCTCTCTACTGGTCTTTTTCAGGGGGGATGAGTATCCTTTACTTATTCAACTCTCGTTTTAAGTTTTGTTTGTTACAGATTTATATGTTCATTGTAGTTAGCATCTACCTCTATGGGAAATGAAAGGAGGGTTGATTTAAGGAAGAGAATGAACATTGAAAGGAAACCATGTGATTTGAATTTTTGAGATTGCAAAAGCCTTGTTCCTCTTCCTCCCCTTATGTGTAAAGGACAGTGAGTGTTGTGTAAATAATAAACTATAAGAAGCATGAATCTTCATTTTTGTTAATGATCTTGACATGAGTGAGAGAATGCTTAATATAGAGCCAAGTATGCTATCAAAAAGTATTGTCTTTGGAAAATTTTTGTACAATAATCTGGGGCATAGGTTCTGTTGAAAAGGCAAATTGGCTTCTTATTCCAGTCATACTTTATTATAAGAAAACTATTGTTATTTTCTTTAAGAATATAATTAAATTTAATCTTGCACATAATTTAAAAGTAGGTCCCTTGCAGGTTAAATCCTATGCTGGTGTAGCCTTGAGATCTTCTAGGTTGGTGCTGTTTGGTAGAACTTTCAGTGATGATGAAAATGTTTTAGAACCTATGCTGTCCAATAGAAGCCACTAGCCACATTGACTGATGGAACTGGGTTTTGTATTTTATTTAATTTTCAGTTATTTAAATTTAGTCACTCACATCCCTAGTGGCTACATATTGGACAGCACAGTTCTGGATGGTTGTGCAATGGGATCTAGCATTAAAGTGTCAACAGAATAAGGCTCAAAGACAGTTTGTGGTTTAGTAGCATGCAGTTGGCTAAAAAATATTCCTTTCTGGCCTTAAAAAAGTATATGATCTCAAGTATGACAATAAAAATTCATTGATTGCCCTTTGGGGTTATTACTTAGACTTTGGGCCAAGAAATGATCAGTGAAGCTTAAAGAGTGCTTTATGAAGCCCCTTTTCTGGATCATTAGCTGCATGTGAATATATTGTCCAAAAATAATAGTTAGACAGTAGCTGTAAAACGTTTGACTTGCAAGCTATGCATGACCTGTACTGTGAAATTGTGTTTAGGGTCTTGTGGCCAAAAAAGTAAATGTTACAGAAAACAAAAAGCCTAATGAAATCCCTCTTCACTTCTAACATCTTACTCAAATGTTGCTGCATTAGTAAGGTGTGAAAAACAAGGGCAAGCATGTTTTGCAGTGTACCGCAGAGAGTGTTTTTATTTGCCCTTGAAGTCAGCCAGCTTATCATTGTATTCGGTGTGGGCATATGTCGGGGTCATTTTTCAGATGCCAGACTAAAACATAGGTATGTAGAGTGAGATTTGGCTTGTTTTAATCTTGCTTTGCTTTTTTTTTTAATTTTATTTATCACACAAAGAATTAAAGATTTGAAGCCTCATATAAAAAGGCACTTTTTTAAAATAATATTTAAAAGGATTGCCCATGGAGTTTAAAAGCATGGAGGTTATTTAAGTTACTAAAATTGCTTTTTAAGTGAGTAAAGGGAAGCAGAAAATTGGGTTTGAGAAAAATTTTCACAGAAAGGTCAGACTCTTAACCGACAGTACAGTATTTATTTCTATCTAGGTTTTGATTTGAAGAATCCCACTTCTTTACTTCAAAACCATACTGGGTCAGAATTTCTCAGTTCGCTTTTCATTGTCTCCAAATGTAAATCAAGTACATTTGCTTCCAACAGAATTGGGTTGATTTCCACACACACACACACACACACACACACACACACCCCCCCCCCGCCCCAGAACTCATTTATAGGCATGACTGTTCTTTTTAGCTTGCCTTGAATAATTGGGTAATTTTTTTGCCAAAACAATAGTTAATCTTTAGGCTTAAGAGGAAGTTAGAGGTTCGAAGAATAGAGTGAAATACAAAAGGTTTGAATTTCTGTTTTCCCTTCAAACAATGATGCTGCCAGCCAGTGAGGATTTTGTTTCCCCCGGGTGTCATCAGTCAGTTGTCTTGTCTTCCTTGACCTGGATGAAGCCCCAATCCTCACCATATCCATCATTCTCAGTAAAACCTCAACCACAAGGTAATCCTTACCCCAAAAAACAACAAAAAAGAATTAGATTGTCAGGATAACTCGATCACTGTCTTGAAAGTAGTAGTCTGTTACAAAAGCGATGGATACTGAATATTGTCAAACATGAAATGATTTTCCAAAATCAGTGGAAATTCAAGCCATTGATTTTTCTGGACACAGCTGAGTCCCCAGCTGTAGTCTTATGTATCTAGAGTCCAGATAGATACATATGTTGACACACAACATGCTTAAGCTGTAGTTGGAGTTAAAAGATGTCAGTCTTGTTTTCCAATTGGTGGATTATATGCTGTTGAATTTAGACATGAATTTCAGGTTTCATACATTATGTCAGTCTAACCACCCTTGGGAGTGTATATAACTAAACTTCAAATATATGAAGAGTGAGTGGGTTCTACTGTAGACATTTTTACTGAAAAGCTATTGATCTTTGAGGAACATAAGCAGGTGGGGCATTTCTATCTTCCAAATGGCTTTTTTTTTTTCCTGCTCAAGTGGGAGAGCATTAGTATTCCTGAACTCTTGCAGTATGACTCCAACTTTTTGCACAAGTTTCCTTGCACAGTCAGCCAATGATTTTTTTTTTTTTTTTTCAGGATTCACTGCCTGGGGTAACCCACTATATATCACTTTCAATGTAGTGGTGCTTGAAAACACACATCTTGTTAGCTGGACTTTATTATTCTAGTCTAAGGTTTTTGATACTACTCATATTATGATCTTTTTAGGGACAATCAGTGACATTTGGGGCAGATGACTGAGGGAATCTCTTGAAGTCTGCAAAAGCAGGAATCTTTCTTTTTCTTGGATGTTCCCTATAGTTGCCCCTGTTCTAGAACACCACTCTACAATCATCCCCATGAGATAGAGTGTTAGTAACTCATGTGAAAGTCTCTGTGGCTTCCCTGAGGTGTGAGTCATGAGGTTATTCTAACAAGAGTTTTCCAAAGGAGTGTTCCATTTTTAATTTGACATTTGCTTTTTGAGAATCCAGAAATAGTTGGATATAATGGTGGTAAAGATGCAGGGGCTGTTACAAAGGAAATAGGTGAGGCAAATGCCCCTTGAAGGGGGACAAGTTGACATGTGTCACCCCTATTGAAATTGTGGGAGAACAGAGCAGCATCTGCATTGCCCTGTCTCAGAAAACTGGTCAGATTTCCTGTCTGAGAGACAACCCACTGGGTTTGTCCCTCTGTGGGAGGGGTTGAGACATGGCCTTGGTTCTGTAGCAGCAGCCAAGCAGATGTGTCCAGAGCATAAGAAAATACTTGCTTAAAGGGGAAGAGTCAGCGATGAGCTTATAGCTCCAAGATGCAATGTGTGGGAGTTGCAGGTCAGTCATGGCAGAAACCCCAGAAGAAGGAAACAGGACAACTAGGACTAGGTCTGCCAAGCACAACGTGTCATTCCAGGGTGGCCCACCAAATGCCATCCAGGACGTTTGCCTTGAAGACATAAAGAGTGTGCTCAGCTGGTGAGGAGTGTGAGGAGGCCCCTTTCGCTTGTGAGCACACTGCACACAATTTCAGAGCCTGCTCTGGGACTGGTTACTGAGTCACTACATATTTAGCATCCTCTTAACTGCAAATTCCATGCCTGTGCTTGACTTGTTGGGATGGCTTGTTCCAGGATATTTTGGTTTCTGCCCTGATTGCTGTTATTGATATATTTTTTATTCCACCAATGATCCTGGTTGCCTCCCTTGGTAGTTGCAGGTGGGAATCAGGTTTCAGTTGGGGTGATCACAGACAGCCACACAACTGCTCACAGGGTTCCTGCCATTCTGACAGCACTATGGGTGGGGTCCCTCGCCCTCTTGATAACTAATACTTCAGTCAAATGGCTAGGTTAATGCTGCTCAGAGGCTGTTAGCTCAAGTCCTTGACATGTTTCATTTACAATTATGTGGGTTATTTATTTTAGGAGCTTTTCTTTTAAAGGGCTAAATAGCCCTACAGATAAATGAGCTGCTGGGCTGTGTTGAAAATATTGTCCAAATGTTGCCAAATATTGACTTTGTAAGGGGGATATCAAGCTGCTGTTTATAAATCTGAATGTCTTAAAAGCATTCTTGCTTGCTCTCTATGTTGTAGATGGTGTCTTAGCAAGTCCTGAGTTTTTCCAATGAACCCAATTTTAATATATGGTATTTTTGTATGCCAAACTGGTGTCTTGTCCTTTGTATATGTGGTAATGTTGATTTTATGACTACTGTTAAAACACATTTGCTATGATTAAAATTCATAAAACGATTTCACAATAGACTCACGTGTTGGTTATTTTTTCTCCCAACCCACAAAGAGAAAAATATTGGCTGGAATTTCATCACCAATGACTAAGAATCTTAATAGACTTGGGTAATAAAGTGACAAGGATCTCCCGAGTCAAGGGTTTCTAGTGGAGGTGACTTTCAAGTGGCTCCTCTGAGACGCCATAGGATGCACGGTGATGAGCACCTCCAAGCCTGTTTACGGGGTTGGACTCTTCGTGGCTTCTGGTGGCCCCACCTTGATCCTCCATTGTTTGGAAATGACATCGTACGTGTCAGTCCCCAAAAGGACCTTCTCATTGTGTCACATGCAGGACAACTGTGTCCAAGTCGCTGGGTAGTGAGAGGCTAGTTGACCTGGCCTCTTGACTGAGTCTAGGGAAGTGTCCCTCAATACATGTCATCAACCAGATGGAACATTTTTTTCCTCCCCTCTCCCTGCCCCATGTTTATTCAGGTAAATGTTGGTTTACATTATCATGTCTGCTTTGGGGGTTATAGATTCCAAAACATCCTGTCTTTCAGTAACTCTGGATCATGTTAATGAATTCTATGAAGTTTGGCTGGTAGCCTGACCCTAATTTAGGGCTTATCAATTCTGATACGCCTGGATACTACTTTACGTATTCTCTGACTCTCGGAAAATTACAAAATTATCCCTACAGTTTAAAAGTGAGAGGTTACAGTGATTCAGTAGTCATGCCCTGAACCAAAAAGCAAGTATTCTATTAGGGTGTTCAGATTTTTTGAGTGTAAAGTTTATCTCACATATTAGAATTTCTGGTGTGGATTTCTCTGGAGTCTAGCAGGGAGGAGAGGAGAGGGTGGGAGAGGGAGAATGGAGTGTGGTGAGTGGAGGGATTTGCGTATTGTTGGAGGGATTTGCTTCTGCTTGAGCTTTTCTACCAGCTAGAAAAGAAGTTAACTGGTAGAAAAAGGTACCAAAAAGGTACAAAAAGGCATTTAAGTGTTGGCACTTCTCTAGGTCTTAGTCCCTGGATCAAGACAAGATTATACCTTCAGTCTTATCTAGCAACTTCTCTGTAGACTTAACATGTCCAGGGTGAGGGAAGGGATCCCGGGAGAGCGCTGCTTCCGTATCTTGCCTGAGGACATCCACATTAGCAATCTCTTCAGACTCCCTCTTTGGATGGCTCAGAAAAGGGGGTGCTCCAAGATCTTTGCCATTCTGGCCTCTCTCTGCCAAGGAGCTCTGGGGTGAGTAACTGAGGTCTGGAGTGGATGTTGGAGGTGCTTAGAGTCGGAGGAACAAGGGACACTCACTGAGTGCCACCCTCACCCTCAATCCTTTCTTGCACACCCCCCTTCATACTTTCCACATTTCCTGAAATAAAGCCCTACTATCTGCCAACGCATTCTTTCACTTGATGCTTTTGTTTCCAGTGATCATTCTTGGAAGAGAAACCCACGTTCAGTGTATACGGTGCAGTGCTAGGCTGGGGAAATGGCAGCTGGGGGAAAGGAACTGAGCCTAGAATTAGACTGAGCCTCGGCTTTTCTTTTTATAGGCTTAAAACTTTTGCACCATTCTACTTGACCCAGAAAATGATATAGCTGTAATTGGATTCAGTCTCTCTCATTCTCCAAATCTACTGTTCCTTACATCCCCATCTCTCTTTATACTATTTTTTTTAAGATTTATTTATTTATTTATACAAGCACTGGGTACAGTCAGAAGCGCGGGAGGGTCAGAGAATCCACCAGAGCCAGAGAGGGGAACAGAACAGGCAGACTGACGAAGTACACTGCTGAGGGGAGCAGTGGGCACCAGGAGAGGTCTGCGCGCCATGTGGGACCCTTGCTGGAGGTCGGGGATCGAACTGACACTGCAGAGGCTGCAGGCAGCTTCGCAGCCCAGTGCTCAACCACTGCGCCACCAGGGGAAGCCCTCTCTTTATACTATTGTACTTAATAATTGATAGTTTTTTTAATTATTCACAAAAATGAATGTATAGATGCACATATTTGCACTCATTCCTGTGTGTGTGCCTGTGTATGAGAGTATATGCATGTCACATATACATATATCACACACATTATATACATGTATCACACATCATACATATAGGTGTGTGCATATATACATACTACCTATGTATATGTAGCAATCAACAAATGTGTATCCGTATAGAGAGAGATTTATTATAAGAAATTAGCTTGTGTAATTGTAGAGGCAGGCAAACCCAAAATCTTTAGGCTAGGCCAGCAGGATGCAGACCCACAGAGGAGTTGATGCTGCAGTTTGAGTCCACTGGCAGGCTGCTGGCAGAATTCCTTTTTCCTCAGAGGTCAGTCCTTTTTCTCTTAACATTTTTAACTGGTTAAAGGAGGCCTACCCACACTATAGAGAACAACCTGCTTTATACAAAGTCTACTGATTTATATGTTAAGCTCGTCTAAAAAAATTCCAGCAACACCAGACAAGCCTATGTCCAAATATCTGGCTCTCACAGCCTATCCCAGTTGACACATAAAATTAACCAATATAATATGTTAAAGTAATTTGTGAATCTCCAAAAGAAGAACAAACTATGTATCACTTTCTCCCAATTTATTGGAGTAAATAATCCTTTATTTTCAGAATACCTATTAATATCTGTTAGAACATAGATCAAACCTTGGGATACTGACTTTAAGTAATGACCTTTGCAATTTTGACTTACCCCAGATAATCAAAATCTGGCAAAAAAAAAAAACAAACCCTACTTATTACTTATATAGTAAGATTAAACCATTAAATCACATTTGCTTTTTTTGATTTAAAATAATATCACATAGCGCCTCCTCTGGTGGCACATTGGTTGAGCGCTGGCCTGCGAGGCTGCCTGCAGCCTCTGCAGCGCTGGTTCCATCCCCAGCCGCTGGTGAGTGTCCCACGTGGCATGCAGAGCTCTCCTGCCGCTCCTGCTGCTCCCCTCAGCAGTGTATTTCGTCAGTCTGTCTGTTCTGTTTCCCTCTCTGGCTCTGGTGAATTCTCTTACCCTCCCGCGCTTCTGACTATACCCAGTGCTTGTATAAATAAAATAAATAAATCTTTAAAAAAAATAAAATGATATCACATAAATGTAAAATAGCCAATTTTTATATTAGATTCACCTGGATGGTATATTGTGAGTAATCTGTAGGCTAAAATTCCATGTACTGCACACATTACCAATGAAATGTTCACATTAACAAATGGGGATGGGAGAAATGGATACATCTGTTTTAGCAATAAGGCTCTAGATGATTCACACTGGAACACAGTGCATACATAGCAGAATAGTTTTGGAAAATTATAGCCTAAAAATTCATAAATATTCATTACTACATACTGTGGGGTTAAAAACAACCAACAACAAACTAAATTGATAATGATGAGCAAAACTAACAATAATTTGCTATTAAGAAGTAAGAAGAGCAGCAATTAACAAAACATGATCATTCAAGGCAGTGCTGATCATGAATACTATCCTCCCAAATTGTAGGAATTTCAGCTATTTGCATATGCACATGTTCTGGTAGAAGTCTTGCAATGTTAGCAAAATACTGAATTGGAGATATGCTTAAGCTCTCAAAACTCCAAAAGCACTAATTTTTAGTTTAAAAATACCAAATTTAGCAAAACACATGTAGGCAGTTACTAATGATTTGCTCTCACTCAGGCATTGGAGAAAGAGGTTCAAGACAAGCAGGAACAACCCATCAGGAAGCCTGGTTTGGCCCCAGCATGCAGAGGGTTTGACTTTGAAATCTAGTCTGTAAAGGATTTAGGCACACAAATAAAGGAATTTATAAACATATGCAAAACACATAAATTAAAAATAAATCAATTTTCCATTTTCTTGAACATCATTTTAATAGAAATTGAAATTTCATGGAATGAAATCTATAGCTGTTAAGATTAACCTTCAGATATATTCAATATATAGGCAATATAAGGATTATCAGCATTTCTATAAATTTCTGTTCCTATAAACTTTAAACACATGAGTTCCCACCACCTGGTTAATCCCTTTTAAATTACGTTTCCCTAACCCCACGAATTTAGACAAAATAACACCTCCTGCCTATCTGAATGTCTCGATTTTATCCCATGCTGATCTGTCTTATCATCCAGCCATCCGAAAAGTAGCTTTCATCACCAAATAAAATGTTTGACCCCCACTCCAAAGTCTCAGTCCAGCTCCTCGGCCTTTTGTGGAGAAGATATTTGGTGGATTTTATGTTGATGGAGATCACTATTAATGTCAGAATGACTTCAGTTTTCATAATTCTGGAAATGGTGTTTTGCTTTAAAAAAAGATGAATATGTAAACTTCTAAGTGAAGCAGAATTAGTGACAGTGGGATTAAATGGGGAGACTTCCTACGAGAGATTTCAAACCAAATGTCCCTCTTCCCCCTCCAGGAGATCCTGTCTGTCCATCATGCCTGGATCTCTCTCTGATAGGCTGAGATCTATCCTTGCTTTGCACACACCGTTGCATCCGCCAGCACCTCGTGGAGTGATTGATGCTACCAAGTATTTGCTGAATGAATGAGCTGATGAGTCATCCTGCGTGCTGAGTAATTTGGTCACCTCCGGCTTCGGTGGCACTGACAGTTTTGGAGTACCCTGGCGCTTGGGCTTTTCTTTTTCTTTGCAGATTTCATCACTTTCTGTACTTAGATTCTTGCTATTGCTGTGGGGAATAGTCTGCTTTCTCCGTCCTGCCCATCAAACCCATTTTAATGAGCTGCTCCTGTTCAGCTGTCTTCCTGCAATAAAGCCATTTCCTCTTCCTCAAAATGTTCATGCTCATGGCTGACTGGCTTGGCAGCTTCGCTTGTTAATCAGAACTAACTGGTGTCAGTCTACACTGACTCTTCCTTTGACCACCCATAGATAGAGTGCATTCCCCCGGTCCATTCTTTTGACTGTCTAACCATACTCTCTTTCATTGTATTTAATTGTGTTTAGGAGGGTGTAAGGGCAGGAACAGGCACAGTGCAG